ACAGTTGAGTTATGTGCAGTAAAATCAGCTACCTCTGTGTATTGGAATATTGTACCTTGTGTTTAATAATGATTATTGCACTGCAATATTCATTGTTCTATATGAAAACTCAATTTCCACCCTTATTCAAATGAGAGCAGCACTTGCTGTCTTCCATTACAAGAAGAAGGAATTCTTTTATATATAAGCTATATGAATGATAGTTTGTTCCATATTCATTGCAGCACATAGCAGATGCTCTCCATCTGCATGAGAGCATACTGCCACCATTTGTTGCAATGGTGTTACTACCTCAGTTGTGTAGTTTGCTCTTGCTGGCGTGGAAAAGTATTAAAAAGTGTCCAAAATGTATCTTCAAGTGTTCAAATCTAACCTGCAACACAAGTAACCTTCAATACTTCCGAGAGAGAACAGTGTTTTTCTCATTGACCCCGTTCTTATTTTGTAAGTTGTGTAACTTTTATACCTTCCTTGTCTTTTCTTTCCTCCCTTGCATTTAAAAACCAAGGATATTGCATTATAGGACACGGTGAGTCAACAAGTTTGCATACTTTTCTTTTCATCAAATCATCATGGTCATCGCTGAACAGCTTGACAGGATGCAGCACGTCATCACATCAGCACCACGCCTACACTTACTTGTTGACCATCAACTCTGCTGGATTCAGACGATTAAAGGGGAGTGTCAGGGACAGTGAGCTCATACAACACTGTGCAGGGATGAGCATTGTCTGGCAGGGAGGACTCTTCATCAGTGGGACTCCATTATGATGACTCATCTGTACTAAACACCCACCGCTTCTCTTTACCGTGCAAAGCTTCCCTTTGTGCTGCTGAGTGTGGCTCATCCAGCACTTGAGAGATAAGCACTGGGGCTCATCCTTTTTAGTAATAGGGTCACAACACAGGGATTTCAGATTGGCGTATGGGCTGCAGACAGTTACAAAAAATGAGCTTGACAATAATTAGAGATAAGAGATAAGAAGATATAAAAATGACTGAACATAAAGGAAATCTGTCTGTATTTTGTTTTGTTGCAAAAACTTATATTGTATAACTTATTGTATAATGTTCTGTATCACTGCATCAAACCGGTTTACAAATCAGCATGTGTGCACGTTTTCCCACTGTTTGCATGGTGCTTAATTTAACTGTTGTTGAGACTTGAGACCTGATTGACCTGAGTGAACTCCCTATGTGGATCTATGCAGCTCGGTTCTTAAACAGGTTGAAAAGGTTAATGGATTAACCAACTCTCTCGCTTTACATTGTGCCAACTTACTGCAATGTCAGTTCCATACAATTAAGTGCAGTGGGAGAACCATAGCATATAGAGCATATAGATCATTGTATGAAATATTCATACAGTTTGGTTACATAGTAACAAAAAAGGTTTAATAAACTATGGCACAGGTCAATTGAGTAACACTTTATTTTATGGGTCCATGATTTCCTCATAATTCCTGGAAAGATCATTTGTTGCTAATCATGAGAGAAATGAGGGAACAATGCTCAATTAAAACACTTACAATTAATTCTAAATATTTGCATGCATGATGTAGAGACTCTTATAATCAGTGCACAGCAGGTCAGACGAACACGTGAAAATTTGACTTTTTAGTTCACCTCAAGGAAAAATGTATTTCTCCTATCATTAGGACCAAATGACATTACTTCCTAGATTTTCTTTTAGGAAATTACTGACCCCTAATAACAGAGCAAAGTTAATTTACACAGGAAAATCTGCCAAACTGGCAAATATAATTGTATCAAATCTGTAAGTGTGAGGTTCAGTACATTAAGCTTAACTCAGATGGGTTTTTTTATATGTCGACAAATGCTCCTTTATGAGTACCGCTAGTGGTGGAATGTAACTAAGTATATTTACTCAAGTACTGTATTTAATTATACATTTGAGGCACTTGAGTCTTTCCTTATATGCCACTTCTACTCCACTTTACGTCAGAGGGAAATATTGCTCTCTTTTTACTCCAGCTTTAGTTACTAGTTCTTTTTTGCATGCCAAACTTATAAAATGTGATGTGTTATTATAAATAAAACTACCAAACAAGTACAACTGAAACAATTAATTAATAAATCAATTAGTTGATTGATAGAAAATTAATTGTTGTTGTAAATCGTCTTTTTCATGCAAAAATGGTTCAAACTTAATAAATGTGAAGATTTACAGCTTTTAAAAAAGACATTTTAATAATATTCATTTATTTTTCATAATTTTGTACTATTGATTGGACAAAACAAGCATTGTGAAGGTATCACCTTGAGCTCTGGGAGCTTAATTAATGAAGAAAACAAGAAAATAATAAGCGGATTAATCCATAATGAAGATAATGATTAGTTGCAGTCCCATACAAAATAGCCGAAACATTAGCTTCACCTCAACTAACTAGTAAACAGTAAAATCCTGCTTTTACATTAACGCATGAGTAATAATAATCTAATAATGCACAATATAGATAGAATGAAATGCATTTTTTTTATTACATTTACTTTATATATATAAATAGCCCACTTTAAGAATATTTCCCTTGAACTTTTACTTAAATAACATTTTAAATGCTAGACTTTTCCTTATAACAGTGTGGTATTAGTATTTTTTACTGTTTCTTCAGCACTGCACAGTGCAAGTGTTGCAACCCTCACCCCTCACCGCCTGGTGGCAGCAACAAGTCTCCATGTGCCAGAGGTGCTTGTCACCACGCCCATATGAGACGTTCACTTCAAATTTCCGCATTATGAGCAAGTAGGTAAAAAAAAAAAAGAAAAAAAAAAAAAACGGAAAGTTTTGCCTCCCCTATCGAGGTTGCATTTAATAATATCCGAGTAACAATGTCAGGGTTTCTTCTGAGACTAAACCTAAGGAGATGCATCGCCTCTCAGATCAGAATGGCATCTGATCAGGTAAACTGGGTTTCAGTGTTAGCATTAGCTTGCTGAGCTAAGTTGGAAAGTTATTGGGCGAAGCTAAGCGAGGGTTAGCTGGTTGCTAACTTGTATAGTCAGCTTTTGTGCAAGGTGCATTGGTGTGAAATGATAATTAAATAAAGAGGTGTGGACTGCAGCGTGTTTCTTATGGCTCCAGTGTAATGTTAGACATGTTGCTGTGAACCTTAAAGCTGTTGTGTTACTGGGTAGCTGCTCTGCTGTTATTTAATGACATTTACTCTGAAATATATGTAGTTATATGTGTAGTTTTGGGCCCAAAATAGTTTAAAAATAAATGCCGAACACGAACATATCAGTAGGTTAAAGTAGCGTTGACAGTGCAAATGTTTAGTAGCAGTTTTAGATTTGTAATTTATAGCAGAGACAGTAGAAAATGTATTAAAAACTAGTTAATAAAATACAATACAAACCTCAAATGTGTCTCACCATGTCTTCCAGAAGCGTGGTTGAGATTTTAGTTTTTGCTGTGCTGTGAAAGAGATTGTTTAAGGATTGCATCATATATTTTTTTTCACATCACTTGAGCAGAATTTTAAATTGAGGAACAATGTCTTAAACGTCTGTATCCATAAAAACACAGTCATCAGTTGTTCTGATGGGAACAATACAACCCATCCAGAGAAAGCAACTAACAATGAAACATCTGTCCAAAATCTTTCAGGAGAACCAGTATGTAAATAAACAGATGCATTGATTCTATTTTAGGCAAAACAAAAATGACAAAACTACATTGTGATGCTCTTAATTGTGTGAATTGTGATATTCCTTCTGCTTATTCATTGCAGCTTGGCGAGATGGGAAAGGGAGCAGGTAAAGGTGGAGGTGGAGGAGGCTCTGTGAGGGAGGCAGGGGGTGCATTTGGAAAGCGACAAGTAGCAGAGGAGGAGCAGTACTTCAGGTGAGAAGCGTGCAGTTATATTAGCAATTACAAGGCTCATGCCCGCAAATATTTTTTTTTTTAACCCAGTGTGTCTTGACTTTTTGTTTCCACCTGCAGGCAGAAGGAGAGGGAGCAGATGGAAGCGCTGAGGAAGCATCATGCAGAGGAGATTGAGCACCACAAAAAGGAGATTGAGCGCCTACAGAAAGAGATTGATCGCCACAAGGGCAAAATCAGAAAGCTGAAACATGATGACTAAAGCTGGGTAGCCTATTATCATTTATCTTCCTGAGAGTCCGCCCATGTTATCTGCCAAGTTAATGATTATGACATATTGATTTGACTTACTGGTGTTCAAGGCAGGTCCTGTAGGAGACTTCACACTGACATCATAATATAACAATAAAGTGCTTAATTCTTGAACACTATGTGACTCGTTGTTGATCCCTCTTGTTTGTTGTTGAAAAGGGTAGTTGTTTGTTTGTGCTTAATAACTTTTTATATAACAAACAAACGCATTATATATATATATATTTATACGTGTATATATATAATAAAGTGTTTGCCAGAAAAAAATTGGGCTGATCCTTTAGGTAGTAATGTACAAAAAGGTGAATTTCATTGGGTTTAAGTCTTGCCAGTCAAAAGTTCAACCTCCGTGGTTGGATAGTTGGTGGTGAAGCGCTCGTTTTCCATCACTGCGCTGCCCGCTATCTGTCAGCGCTAAAACTGCCTCCAAGTCACGTTTTGCAGGTGGGGCAATTTGAAAAAGAGGAAGGAATATAAAACATAGACAGTCAAGGAAGCGATCTCTGAAGCTCAAAATTGGTCTTTGATGTGGGGATTTAAATTGTAGAAACCACTGAGAACCTGATTAGACTGGGACATATGAATCCGAGCGGAAACTGACGTCTGCAATCAAAAAAAAAAAACAGCTCAGGAAAGTCTGTTTTTACAAGTCTTCACCTATTTACACGACAGAAAACAAATAGCAAAAACAAAAAAAAAACAACTCTTCAACACTAACAGTTGCTGACAACAAGGCTCCGCCCGGTTGCAATTCACCAGAAGCGGCAGAACACAACAAAAACGAACACACTCTCCCCACTGCGCGTTTGATTTTTTTTTGTGTGCGTCCAAATCTCGCGATGTTTGCTGAGCGGTGGCGTTGTTCGGGCGAGCCGACGACGAGACCGTAGCTGTCTGGAAATTTGTCTCGTGTGTTAGATTCAAACGTATTCCTCGTATTAGACCATTTGTGTACGTCCGACGAGTCAATCGGTCCGCAATTTTAACACACGTCTCTGTTAGTGTCCTGAATTAGACGGGTAAGTTTCGCTAACTGCCTGTTTGCACCCTGCGTGTGTTTGAATTGTGAAACGGTGTCTTTCTGCACGACGAGGCCTTCGTATGAAAGCTCGCTAGTTAGCCAGCGAGCTAACCAGTATTACTGTCAGGTCGAGATGAGGAGGGGAAAAAAAAACAACAAAAAAAAAACGTGGAAACTGTTTTGCTCTTAAAATTGCACAAAAAAAAGCCGACTGCTCAGATGACACTCGCCCTGCACGACCCGTGCATGTAAATGTGATAATGAAATGTGTCCACCTCGCTAGCTAGCAGGCTGCATGTGAAGGGGGCGGGACGGCTGTCGGTAGGTTTCTTTAAGTGACAGGGTTGTGTTACCGTACAGTACCGGGACGGTTGCACGGCAGTTCAAATTGTCAGACGGGATTTTATGCAACGCTCTGTGTCATTTAGATTTAGTTAAAACTGATGGGTTTTAAGGAGAGTTACCTGCTTTGAACTAAAAGCCAGATTACAGTAGCCAATCCCCTTTTGAAAGCATTGATGTAAATGATATAAGTTACATCAAGACCTTTGGTTGCACTGCTTTTACTTTCGGATAAGTCCCAGTGTTTATTGATCAATCCTGCTCAAGAAAAATACATTCTTAAGATGAACTCTTACTGAATAACTTGTTTTTCTTGCTATATATTACAGGAGAATGGCGGCCGCTGAGGTGAACGGTAGTTCTGCCCCGGCAAAGGAGGAGGAAGAGCCCATGGATGTGACAACAACACATACAGAGAACTACCAGACGCTCATTGATGCTGGGCTGCCCCAGAAAGTGGCTGAAAGTCTAGATAACATCTTCCAGACCGGTGGGTGATAGTTGTTTTGCTCATACAGCTATAAAAGGTCATATTAAGAAGCTGTTGAGTACTAAATATGTCTTTGTCGCTGAGACTGATGGTGAACATGTTTTGTAATTGCAGGCTTGGTGGCGTATGTTGACCTAGACGAAAGGGCCATCGATGCACTGCGGGAGTTCAATGAGGAGGGAGCGCTTACTGTGCTGCAGCAATTCAAAGAGAGTGATCTGTCTCATGTACAGGTAACCACGTGGATTGAATATAAACCCCTTTTTGTCTTTGAGAAGAGTTCGTACAGGTTGTTGTAAAATAACGATATCTCATTTGTTTTTAATGTAGAATAAAAGTGCTTTCCTTTGTGGAGTCATGAAGACTTACAGGCAGAGAGAAAAACAAGGCAGTAAAGTACAGGAGTCCACAAAGGGCCCGGACGAGGCGAAAATAAAGGTAAACATTCATGTGGCTTTGCTGTATAGGAGCTCAGAATGAATGTCACTTAGAAATGCCTCTGCAGACATGTAGCTCAGTTAATGTTTTGTTTGTTGTGTTTTTCAGTCTCTATTGGAACGGACAGGATACACCCTGGATGTCACTACAGGTCAGAGGAAATATGGAGGCCCCCCACCTGAGGATGTGTTCAAAGGAACACAGCCAGGGATTGGAACTGAGGTAGATACGTTTTGTTTTTCTGGTCATTATTCTCAAGGCTCTGTTATATTTTGGGTAAGAAATACTAGGCCTGTGCTGCAGTTTCATTCATAAAGAATCCCAAATATAATGCTGTATGTTGCGCTTTACATATCCTTACACTTTTCCACCTCTTTCTCTCTTTCTCATCAGGTGTTTGTCGGTAAAATCCCAAGGGATTTGTATGAAGATGAGCTGGTGCCGCTCTTTGAGTCAGCTGGTCCCATCTGGGACCTCAGGTTAATGATGGACCCTCTCTCTGGTCAGAATAGAGGTTACGCCTTCATCACATACTGCAATAAGGATGATGCCCAAAAAGCTGTGAAGCTTGTAAGTAGAATGGCAGGGTATCAGAAGAAACCTATTAAACCATATAACAATTCAACATTTACGTGTTTTTGTCTGAGTATTACTTTTAAAAAAAAACAAAAAAAAAACTTCAGGGCGCCCAGTTAGCTGTCGGTAGAGCTGGCAACCCATGTACGTAGTTGCTGCAGCGGCCCAGGGTTCGAGATCCACCTTGCGCCCCTTTGCTGCGTGTTCATCCCCTCTCTCTCTCTGCCCCTCTTTCCTTTCTGTCTTTGGCTGTCACTATCCAATAAATGCAATAAAAGGCCAAAAAACAAACAAAAAAGACTTCAGGCTTCAAATCTGTTAATGTTTTTCATTGCGGTTCTTTTACAATGTATTTCACAAACTTTTTGGCCTGTATTTTCAGTGTGATAACCATGAAATCCGCCCTGGCAAGTACTTGGGAGTGTGCATATCTGTTGCAAACAATCGCCTGTTTGTCGGATCAATTCCAAAGAACAAGACAAGAGAAAGTATATTGGAAGACTTTGGCAAAGTTACAGGTCAGTTTTAAAAGCACAGAGGTGAATTTTTGTCAGAAACTCTTCAAAACAAATCCTCAGTCACGTTATTGTTTTATCTTGCAGAGGGTCTCCAAGAGGTGATATTGTACCACCAGCCAGATGACAAGAAAAAGAACCGTGGCTTCTGTTTCCTGGAATACGAGGACCACAAGTCTGCAGCACAAGCTCGCCGCCGCCTAATGAGTGGCAAAGTCAAGGTGTGGGGGAACCCAGTCACTGTAGAGTGGGCTGACCCTGTCGCCGAGCCAGACCCGGAGGTCATGGCCAAGGTTAGCTAGTCTCGTGTCTTCCTCTGCAAAACACAAGCATGCTCTGTTGTACAGAGTTACAAACATCCTGCTTTCTGTCTTCATAGGTCAAGGTGCTCTTTGTGAGGAAGCTGGCCACAGCAGTGACTGAAGAGCTCCTTGAGAAGACTTTCTCTCAGTTTGGAAAGCTGGAGCGAGTGAAGAAATTGAAAGACTATGCTTTTGTCCATTTTGAAGAAAGGGATGCGGCCGTAAAGGTGGGTTTTTCATGCTTTGGACGGGGTATTTTTGCACGTCTGATGATTCTACGTACGTTACTGTAACGCGTTGTTTTGTTTGGTTAGGCAATGGATGAGATGAATGGGAAGGAGCTGGGAGGAGAGGAAATTGAGATCGTCCTGGCAAAGCCGCCAGACAAGAAGAGGAAAGAGCGCCAAGCAGCTCGGCAGACCACCAGGAACGCAGGGTGAGGGACAGAGACATGTGACTGGTCCACTGCCAGGCTTATTTTCCCCTGAGGAATTCATTACATGTAACACTATCCTCCCCTCTGCAGGTATGACGACTACTACTACTACCCACCTCCACGCATGCCCCCACCAGGCCGAGGCAGGGGTCGTGGTGGCCGAGGGGGCTATGCCTATCCACCAGATTACTATGGATATGAAGACTACTATGATGACTACTATGGCTACGACTATCATGACTACCGTGGTGGCTATGAAGACCCTTACTACGGCTACGAAGATGTGTATAGCATGAGGGGCCGTGGCACTCGTCCCAGCAGGGGGGGGCCTCCTCCACCTAGGGCTCGTGGGGCGCCACCGGCACGAGGCCGGGGCGGCTATGCCCAAAGAGGGCCGCCCCTCGGACCTCCGAGGGGCGGCCGAGGAGGGCGGGGAGCCCCTTTCCAGCCACAGAGGGGCCGAGGTCCTCGCGGGGCCAGGGGCAATCGCGGGGGTAACGTCGGCGGAAAGAGGAAGGCAGACGTGTTTAACCAGCCTGACTCCAAGCGCCGCCAGACCAACAACCAACAGAACTGGGGGTCCCAGCCCATCGCCCAGCAGCCCCTGCAGCAAGGGGCCGACTATTCCGGTAACTATGGTTACAGTAATGACACCATGGAGTTTTCACAGGATTCTTATGGGCAGCAGTGGAAGTAGGTGCACCAAAAGGTATTTGGCAAAGTGACAACAAAAAAAGAGAAAAACAACAATAAAACGAGAAAAAAAAAAAAAAAAACAGGAGATTGGCCACAATTTTTTGATTGACTTTTTATTCTTCATCCCTCATGAAAATATAAATCTGTATATATCAGAAAATATGGACAGACCCCAGAATTGGCTCGAGATGATTGGCTGGAAAGCCTTTTGGCTGAAGAAGTGAACGTAACCGTTGTGGTGAATCATTTCTTACTCCTACGGTTACATTGGGACATGTGTCTTTAAAAAAAACAAACACAAAATACTTTTATTGTTACGTTTTGTTCCTGATTCTTTTAAAGCCAACAATGAACATTTACAAAAAAAAGTGGACATTGATTCTCAAAAGTCTGAGGACATTAAATAATGATATTTGCCTTGCAGGAAGTTTTTGTCCATGCCCCTTTCCTCCCTCCCCTTCTTGTACTCCCTTTATTTGTGGTTTCTCATAGTTGCTTAGGGACTTGCTTGTAAATAAATGCATATGGTTAGAGCTTCATACTTCATTTTTTGCAATGGTGGAGAAAAGAATCCACAGGAAGGAAGAAATCAAAGTTTTGTAATGTTCAAAGTGTATGCCTAGCATTTCTAGAGTTAGACAAATTGTGTTTTTTTAAAACTGATACCATAACTTTCTATGTTTTCTTTGAACTTGCCCAGTAGAATTTGGTTTGGCTTACCTTAAGAGCCATAGCAGTTTGTTCTCTGATGTTCTTTGTATTTATAACTTTTACGTTTGTTCCGTTTCAATAAAACTCAGCTGAGCATCAGTCAATTGTCAGATACTCAAATTCAGTGTTGTCATTCAGTATTTGATTTGATTTTTATCTCAAATTCTCCTATTTGGATGAAGATCTTCTTTTCCAAGACAAATATTTTGCCTCAAAGGATAATCGCAAAAGACTGAAATTGTGCAATCAGACAACGGGGCAAGAGAATTTGAAATGTGTTTGAATGATAAAATGATTTAACAGGATTTTAACCCTTTATTTTTCAGTGCATGTTATATCAGACTACAGTCACTTCCTGCACTCAGAATTTATATAGTGACTATCACAGCAATACCAACAACTATTAAAGGACCACACTGTTATTTTGACCTCTTGCGATTACTCAAGATTGAACCCGTCTTTCAGAATTTGTGTGCAAAGGTAAACAGTGTATGCTTTAGTAAATTCCATTGTCCATTCATCAGGACAAGGAAAACATTGAGTGCTTTGTATAGGTCATTTATCTTTCTGAAAATTGTGGATGCTTAATGAACTATTACTGAAATTTCACTGAAATTATTAATGTAGTGCACTCCTTTACTTTACAGTTTGCCTCATGTGGTTCCTGTCTATATTGCTATCTCCTCTCTCGTAGCATATCTGCATTTCAGAGCCAGCCAGAGAAAATGTTTTAAGACACAACCAAGGAAATGCATAACAATGCAATACAAAATGTAATGGTAATGTAACCGAAGTAAGTTTTAACAGGTGTAAATGTCCTGTGCCTTGCAACTCCTGTTTTGAGTTTAACCACTTTTTTTAAACAAAAACTGTTTATTTAAACAGGTTGACATCTACTGAAGCATATACTGTGTACACCAGTTCACACACTCTTTAAAGACAAGACAATCTTGGATAATGGTGAGATGTCACTTGCACTGGTATGGTCCTGATACTGACGCCCTTACAACAGTTAGAACAACGCATTTGACTTTGAATGGATTTGTGCTTGTATTGCCAAGTTGTCTCCAATTCATTTTTTGTTTTATTCCCCAAAATCTGCACATCATCTCAACCATCTGTTTGAAGACACCAAGGATCTGACCATCCAAAGGGTTAAAATTCTTAAAACTGCCATAGAAAAATGAGTTTGTTAACAATAGAAAAGTGTTATTAGATACCATGGTATCATTGCATTTTGTTTCATGGTGTCTGTCCTCTTATTCCAACCTACCTAGGTGGAGAAGCATTGAGAGCGGCACCACTAGAATGAGGAACTCACCTGAACGGTACTCAAGGGTGAGCTAGCCTTGCACAGAGTACTGTCTCCTCTCCTTTAGCTAATTGTAATCACTGGAGAAACACTAGCTATAATTACACTTATGTTCTTTTTATTGTTTCCTTACTAATAATACTTTACAACAAATCAAGCTTTTTTTTTTTTTTTTTATTCAGTAGGAAGTGTGATTTTTATTTTTTTTCTCCCAGGCTATGAAGAACACAAGTCACTAAAGTTGACTGAAGACTCATTGGAAATATTAAAATTGTGTTACCAGCATGTTTCTGGAGTTTAGAGGACACATGAGCAGTGCATATTTCCTTCACAGATGCACTGCATATTTTTCCCCTTCAGCCAAATGAAAAGTCATGCCCAATTTTAAGAGCCAAATGGCTGTTTCTTAAGACTGGATTAAACAGCCACAAGGCAGACAGCCAAGGATTTGGTAAGCGCTATAAATCTCAAAACCCTGCAAACACCTGTTGCCTGTCTTGGCTTACTGCACCAAAATCACCTCAGCTGTCTGCACACACATTCTGTGAATTAAGGGGTGGTGGTGGTGGATATTTCCCCTGCTACGCCGCTAGAGGTAGCAGTTCCACACCAGCACGACTGGTGGTCCATTGTTCCTTTATCCGACACTGCATTTATTGGCCATTTTCTGAGCTGGAGAGGCGTTAATTAATAGGTAGATATTCGACTACGGGAGCTGTTTTTCAAATGTATTCAAATAGCAGTGGAGATACTCTGTTAAATGTTGGTAAAATTGGCTGATGTTGGAACAATGGCTGTGCCTCAGGACTGATGTCTGTACCCTTCAACGCCACAAGATGGCAGTAGATTGGCTACAGTATTTATATTGCACAGGTAAGACTGAAATAGGGGGCACAGTATTACAGCAGGCAAGCTAATTGTTTCAATTTACACACATATTCTGGTTTGCATTGAAGTGCCATCAAATACTGGAGTGTCCTTTACAGTTTCTCATGTCAGAACTGTGTCTTTATATGTTGCCTCTTGTCAGCAGGCAGTAAAGGAGCTGCCCCCCATCCATGTGAATGAGTTCACACTAATGGAAGGGACTGATTGGTAAGATTGTTCATTATCTGAATTAATGCTCAGAAAAAGTCTCAACATGTTTGTATTTTTACTTTTTGTTATATTGTGAAACAATGTTGGATGTCCTAGTTTTCTCTTTATGACCTCTTCCAAGAGTCAGTAAGTTCTGTACGTTGTTTTTTCAGAATTTTAACTGGGCGTCAAGTCACAAATACATTTAAACACACATACATTTATATTAGTTGTTATAGATAAATGGCATCGTATTAGAGACAATGCAGTCTGTTTTCTGGTCATGTTGTTGGTGTTGATGGTCATTCTGATGCCAAGATTTGTTAACATGCCCTCTTCTGTGTGGCCCTTTTTTTTATTTTTTTCTAGCACTGACTGAGGAGACTGTTCTCCACAAGCACATCCCACAGAATGACCTACTTACTGGACCTTACACTTGAGGTCCAGGACTCATGGGACCACCAGCTGGCTACCCTGTTTACATCTCAGCAGAAGACACAGGTGAGAAATAACTGGATTAGTGCAGCTCCAGTGAGTTTATCGTTGAGGATGGGGGCGTAAAGGTTATAACTTGTCTCATGAGGTGTGAAGAGAGATACTTCCATATACATACAACTCTTCCTATGTAGTACATTAATCTTGGGAAATGTCTTCATTCTAATGTTTAATATCTTTTTCTTTCACTTACTGCAGACGCGTAGGAAGATACAGTTGATGGATGATCCAGAGCTCCATCCAGCAGACTGCTGCTTCCTTATCCAGCTTAAAAGAATTATGACTGTAAAGGGAACTGGTCTGTTGCTCTTGATTGTTCAATACATTTTATTACCCAAGTAAATGTGTGTGTGTGTGTGTGTGTATTTATATTTACAGTTTCTTTAACTACTTTTCATATTATAACGTTTGTAAACACCACTTAAGTTAATGTTATCTTGTCAGCACATGTGCACTACTTTTACTTGTGTGTGTGTGTGTCTTCGCAGTGAAACTGAATTATGTTCATTGTGAAGTTCAGTAGTGGGTCCTAAAGTCAATGATAAAACATATTGCTTGTTGCAAACTTGACCAGTCAAACAGATGGAAATGGGGGTGGGCCTGTAAACATAATGGACCAGTGTGACCCGTCAGTGGCCAATCCTGGTGACAGTACTCGCCCCTTCCTGCCTCATCGTGGTCAAATTAAAAGTACAACTGTGTGGATGCAGGTGGATGTCTTTAATTGGAAGAGCGTGAGGTGCAAGCCTAAAAACTGGAATTAAATTTGGTAATTTAAAAACAAAAACCCTAGTTTTGTCGGCCATCGGGGTAAAATTAATTTCCAAGCAGCTGATCAGGCTACGATACATTGCGGGTGGCTGGAGAGCTTTACCTGAGCCGCATAAAGAAGTTGGACTTACTAATAAATAATCTTAACATCATGCATGCAGAGAACCTGGTTACTGTACGGCTGTTAGCTGCTGCTGGTTGTAATTATATGCCAGACAAACTCAATGCAAAGCTCTCTAAATGAAACGTGTAGATCTAAACAACAATATGTAAACTTGTCGGGATGCCTTTGCTAAAAAATAAATTCAATAATATGATGATTGCAGTCATATTGTGCATGACAACACATAATATCCTGCGTTTTTCTCTATTTAACATGATTTTATAAAATAGTATGAGCCGTGCGGAAGTCGAAGCGGAAGTGTATTATCTTTGTTTCCTGGCTTTTCAAAATAAGGCAAGCTATGTTTTCAATTGAGAAAATAATAAATAAGTCTCCTACTTTTACAAATAAACGTTCATATTTTGTGTCCGTATTACACATCACTTTAATTGATTTATGTATTTTAGCACCTACTCTAACATAACCTTGCATTACGTTGATTCCAGATTAAATTAAAGTAAATATTTATAACAAAATAAAATAAAATAAAAAAAACTTTTATCACACGGAGGGCGCGCTGATAAATGTAGTTAAAGAACTAGAGCCCATAAGATATAAGATTTAATAAGATTTAATTATACATGTTATTATAAACAACCACTCGCATTAAGGTTGACCGTGTGGTCACGTCGTGCCACTACGTCACACGTAAACCAGGGGGGGAAGATGGCGGCCGCCGGAGGAGAGCCTTCTTCTCACAATATGTCGGATGAATTATTTCAAACTTTTATCTCGGAGGTACGAGTAAACTTACGTGAGCTTGTGTGATTTGAAAGTGTGAGCCGCACTCTGTACGTCGGCTCGGGTCGGCTGTTCCGCGGGTGTCGTGTTTACGAGCTACGAGGCCTGGCAGACGTGAGCATCAGCTAACGACGAGCAGCTAACGTCTGCTGAGGTGTTTTGTGAGCAGCTATGTCTTTCTGGTGTTCCCCATAGGTCGTCTGTGTGTTTAGTGGCCCTTTCTCTGCTACTGCGAGTCACCTAAACTAAACCACAGTCGGATAAGTGTGAATTATTCTGCAGGCTGGTGGCTTCTGTCCAGCATCTCTTTACCAATCGCAGTGCAGAGTCCCAGAAACTGCAGAGTAACCTTATGTTTCACCTCGTTTTACTCCCCACAAAGTGCGGTTTCAGATGGACTTTTGCAGTGTGACTTTGCTGGTATCCTGATAGTTTTCATTATGTCACTGACAGGTGAAGCAGATTGAGAAGAGAGACTCTGTGTTCACCTCCAAGCAGCAGATTGACAGACTGCTCAGACCTGGCTCATCCTACTTCAATCTCAATCCCTTTGAGGTAAGTGTACTGATTAAGTGTTTTCATCTTCAACCGGGTGTATCCAGTACATAATAACTAAGATACATGCATACATGTATGAATTGTGTTGTCAGTCATTAAATGTCAAATTACTATGAGATGCCCTGAACTAAAAGTGATTGTGGCAAACAGGCAAATCAACCCAAACATTGATTTATAAGGACATTAAATGGTTAAAAACTAACAATACATCTTGGAAGTTTTAAAGACATATTTGGTATCTGGACTTAATAAATGAGAAAAATGTAATAGAACAAAATTCAGTGAAATTTAAGTGAAATTTCTAAATTAAAGGTCCAGTGTGTAACATTTAGGAGGCTCTAATGGCAGAAATATAATATAATATTCATAGGTATGTTTTTATTAGAGTATAATCACCTGGATATAAGAATTGTTATGTTTTTGTTACCTTAGAATGAGCTGGTCACCTTTCATTGGCCACCATGTTGAACCATTATCTTCCTACAGTAGCCCAGAAGGGACAAACCAAGCACTGGCTCTAGATAGGGATGATTGTGCATTTTGCTGCCACCGTACTTTCTCTTTCATGTTTGGTATATTTTCTATATCTATGGAAGCATCTACACTGCTAGATGCCACTAAGTTCTACACACTGTAGCCTTTTCATTTACTATTATTATTATTTACTTAATTTAAAATGAACTTCAACACTAGTGTTTTCTCTTACATAATAGTTCCACTGTCTGTATTCCCCAAATACAGAATCAGAGAAAAAGGGAGGCACTCCACAGGTCAAAAACAGCAAAAGAATGACCTCGTGTTGATCTTTTTAGGTGAATTTTACTTACGATCAATAGGCTGACCAATCTGCTGATCAGAGCACGATAATGTTGCCACCATTTCTCTCCTAACAACTGGAACTCAGCATAATAATTATCTTGTATTGACACTTTGGTTGAGATACTTATGTAGAAAACAAACCTACCAATGTTCACATTCATTTCAGGTGCTGCAAATTGATCCAGAAGCCACAGATGATGAGTTGAAGAAAAGATTTCGGGCGGTAAGCTAAAAAACATTCAGTGGTCATCTCTGTGAAGACATCACTTGCCTGTGGACATTGTGCTAGTGAAATGATGTTCGTTTTTTCCTTAATTTCTAATATTCAGTCTCTTTACCTGTGCAGTTGTCCATTTTGGTCCATCCAGACAAAAATCAGGGTGATCCAGATAGAGCTCAGAAAGCCTTTGAAGGTAATTTCCTTATATCCCTGCTTACATTTAAGTTGTAAATATACACTGGATGTCATTCATGGCATTTACTTGTATCATGTTGCCCAGTTTGTGGTTTCATATAATGTTAGCGAACACAGTAAACTAGTATATTCAGCTCCTGCCTTTGTGCATGCGGTCATTAGATGAAAAAGAAACATGTACAAGCTTAATTTCATCTGAATATCTCACTGTGTTCCAGCTGTGGACAAGGCATACAAACTCCTACTGGAACCGGAACAGAAGAAGAGAGCCTTAGATGTGATCCATGCAGGAAAAGAATACGTGGAGCATATGGTGAGCGTTCAACATTTTCCTTTACCTTTCAAACAATCCTCCATCTTACTCAACTCTCCTGGTTTGTATTTGTTTGGTAACATTTTATTTTGTCCGATTGTGCGCTCCCGTCAGGTGAAGGAGAAAAAGAAACAGTTGAAGAAGGATGGGAAATCAATGGATGTGGAGGAGGATGACCCTGAAGTGGTATGTCGAAGTCATAGAAATATATCTGGGAGAAGTGTTGAAAGTAAAATTAAAATCTGATTTAAATCAAAATTTCACTATAGGGTCATTTAAAGGAGAGAAATGTTATATTTATGTTAATATTATATTATAAATTCCGTCAAGATATTGTAATTATTAAATATTAAAGATTGTCTTTTTATTTAAACAACATTTAAGTAGAATAGTGAAGTTTCATGTTAATCAAGCTAATATTTGTCCTGTTGATTACTATATATGACTTTACTTGTCGTTTCCAGTTCAGACAAGCAGTGTACAAACAGACCATGAAGCTGTTCGCAGAGCTTGAAATCAAGAGGAAGGAAAGGGAAGCAAAGGACATGCATGAAAGGTAAAGACACACAGTATATTTACAACCTGTTTTTTTTGTAATAAAAATAAAAAAAAGTATAAAATGTAATGTAAACTAATGTAATAAAACTTGTTAACCTGCCACCCCTTTATTTAAATGTCCAAATAATGTAAATGGTGATATTATTTGATCCAGCTGTTAGTTTTTATTAGTGAAACAGAAAAGAATATCTTCATTCAGAATTCCATGGATTTCTTATTTTCTTCTTCACGTCATTTACCAGAAAAAGGGCAAGAGAAGAAGAAATCGAAGCAGCAGAGAAAGCCAAGCGAGAGAGAGAGTGGCAGAAGAATTTTGAGGTGCGGTCCTCCATGATTGTGGTTACTTGCTTATAAATGGAAACATGATGACTTTGGATTTGGCATTTCTAAAATGACCATTTTTTTGGTAACACTTGTCAGGAAACAAGGGATGGGCGTGTGGACAGTTGGAGGACCTTCCAGGCCAAAGGCAAGAAGAGCAAGGAGAAAAAGAACAGGTCCTTCCTCAAGCCCCCAAAAGTCAAGATGGAACAGAGGGAATGATGATGTAAAATTGGACTTTATTAGATTAAACTCACTGTTATAAAACCCCCCAGTTCTGTGTAACCTCACCTCGTCGTCCGCAGTCAGCTGTGTAGTCGTCATCACACAGTCATCGGGATACTCAGTACAACTACTTCCTCATCCTGACCCTGACAAACGTAGTTTTGTACTTGGTTTTTCTAATGTACATATTTGTGATCTGGACCCAGAGATCATACCTGCCTTGTGTAAGAAAGAGAAAATGATACATCTTCCACTTCTGTAACTGATGAGAAAAATGTGGTTTGTCATTATTTTTGTTCTTTTTCTTTTTTTAACTAAATAAAGCTTGGTCTTAACAAGCGTACCATATGCTAGTCCACAAAGCGGAGTTTAAAATATGCAGGAGAGGTAAATAACAAGGCTTGGAGGGGGAATGTCTGAAGCTATGTGACATTGTTTTTGTTTTCAATCCAGTTGTCGTTATAGATCACTTGACAAGCGAATACAATACTGACAGGATTTACACACGGCACCTTTTAAAAAAAGTCAGATTCTGAAGATTTCTGGAAAATCCACAGAAATATTTAGCATTTTGTTTTAAGTCTGCAGAACAAATGCAGATTTTGCATTTAGTGTCTCAATACTACTCATTAGTTCTGCATGTCTTAAATGTATTCCTTAAAATACTGTGAATAAAAGCACCTGACTGGTGTTTGTTGGACATGCTATTTATGTTTTGAAAAAAAAACAAACTAGTAAATCCCTTTAGATTTCAAATTCCACAAAATAAAACCAGCTCAGGAGTGTGAATACTGGATGAATAAAACTGAAGTCATACAAGGACTACGTGTTGGTAGACATTTGTTTTATAACAATATTTCACAAAAACAGCAGACAAGTAGACAGAAATTGTGCAAAGATTGATACAGTATAATCTGTAAAATATAAGCAAGGAATCAAGAACAAGCAATTTTAA